TTGCTTTCGCTCCCGCCTGCGGTCTTTCATCATGCATCCGCCCGCCGCTGCGGGCGTTCGGCCCTCGCCTTCTGACGCCCCCTCAAAGGAGGTGGCGCCAGTTGCAACTTTGCCGGCTGCCGGCGCGTTTCGCGCTCACTGCAGCTGGGAGGGGGGGCGCGCTCGAAGCCGCAATGTCATTGATGAACCTGAAGATAAAGGTCCTGCAGACGGTTCTCGTAAAAGGAGCCCTTGAGTTAGGAGAATATGGACAAGATGCATCACGTGTGCCGGGCTGGCTTGCCGCCAATCTTGATCATCCGGCAAAACAAAAAATGTTCCGCCGACGCGGAGCAGGCTTATGTTCCCTGCGTTGAACGAGACGACAGCTTCCATCGCAGCCGGATTGCAGCCGGCGGCGGGAACGCGTTGCCAGACGATAGTTTGTCCGACCTCGCGAGCATGGTCCTCCGGGAGGCGAGCGTCGGTCGGCGCCGTCAGAATTCCACCCCTGGAACGAACGGCAGCGGCGCAGCATTGAAGTCAGAAAGCGACCGAGGACTCCCGCGACGCCGTGATCAGAGGGCGCGGACCTCGCATAGCTCCCGATCAGCGCCGGGGGCGCCGCGTAAGAACAGGACCGAGACGACGTCGTTCCCAGTGCATGACATTGACCATGCGATGGCCCCCTCCCAGCAGATGGGCATGTCCAGGAGCGTACGTCTGCGCATATGCGACAGACCTCCCAGAGGAAGGCCCGGCCGGGACAAACTTCAACCCGCGCGATGAGGATTCAAGACGAGGGAGGAGGGTGGCGCGACGCAATCGCCACTGGCAATGAACGCGGACGCCCGCCCTGCACGAGAGAAGAGGATGGCGCGCAGAAAGCTTGTCGGGCTTTCGGCCCGCGCCGCGACTATCTAGCTGCGAGCGACGACTTAAGCCTCGGCTTGCTCGGACCACGTCTAGCGCTGAATAACCCGTGGGAACAGCGTGGAATCGCCCGGAGACTATTCCAGACGCCCCGCCGAGCGTGCTTCCCGATCTCATCGAACTCGGTCGCCCCTCCGTCAATGGTGGCGCTCGGAGCAGCGGCCCGAGGGGGTGTTCGCCATGTTGGAGGAGCACGCGCGAGCGCTGCTAAGAGGCGTCGTCCAGCGCCGTCCCAGCCGCAGAGATCGAGGACAATCAGTCGCGGGTCAATCGTGCGTGTCGGGGGCGATCCTCTCGGCCAGAATGCGGGAGAGCCCGCGCGGGGCCCTCAGGCAACCCTTCTCAGACAGTTGCGACGAAGAAGTGATTCGTCGAACGCCTCGCGGCCGAGCTCGGAAAGGCCGTGTCGCTGCGTGCTAGGAGCGGCCAGTACGTTGCGCATCGTATCAGGTCAACGCCAAGTGGGTCCGCCAGGTCGAGCGCATCGATTGCCGTCGCGGTCTCGGCGGCGAGCGCGCGCTGACAGCCCGTGCCCTCGCGCGGATGCGCGGAGGAGTCTCGATGCCTAGGCCAATCGGGGCATTTCGTTGGGCCCGCGCGCTGGGAACGCCCTCGCACGTGCAAGGGTTGCAGCGTGAACTTCGCGCGTGGAGGGCGCTGTGCCCCAGCTGATCATCAGAGCGCGGAATTGCGGAACTCAAAAATGCGGACACCCCCACAGAGGGATGCCTCGGCCACAACCATGCGAATGCAAGAAAGATGCGATCTTCAGGTGCGACAGCTGGAGCTATCTCAGGCCGAAGCGCCAGAAAAGGCCCGGGCGAGGGTCCGCCCCGAGATTGCCGTGGGCAGGGCCCATGCAGAGCCCGGAATGCTTGGGCCGAGGCAGACAGGGATCGCGAGGCCAGACGCATGAACGAACAGCAATGGCGTTGACTTGAGTGCGTTGTCTCTGCCCATGGTAAGCACTATGCCGAGCGGGCCACCCGAGTCGAGATGACCCAGGCAGAGCCGAGGAGGTAGTCATGATCAGGAACCGCGAGAGTCGATCAGCGACGCTCGCGGTTGAACAGATGGCTCAGGTTCGGAGGGTTGAACTGATTGGATTGCAGTGGAACTGGACAAACGCGCAACGAGAACAGCCGAAAAGGCAAAGACCACCGATTCACGAAATCTGCTGTCTCTAGCAGAAGGCGCGAGTTGAGCCCGCCAGGCGCCCGCCACATCGACGGCATCACAGCGCGCCGACGCAAGATCCGCTGCCCCGGGAGGTGGCGGGGGCAACGGCGCCAGATGAGGGCGGTGCCATCGTATGTTTCTACGGTGTCTAATGCGCGCAGGTCCGACGCACGGACTGCTGATTCTGAGATGAACCGCGATGCACAGTTCACTTCGACCCCGGGGCTGGGCAGTGCCGACCCTGTGCTAACAGGACGATTCAAGAGGAGCTTGCAACGGCGCGCCGCGCCGAGGAGGCGGGAGAGGATGATCGGCGACGGGGTCCCGAGCCAGAAGCGCGCATGGCAGCCGAAAGGGAAAGGGGGAACGAAGCCGATATGAAGCTACGAGTGGGAGCTTCTGAGATGAGGTACCGCGCCATCAGGAGTGAGCACGAAGAGCGGCAAGAGCCGAGAAAGTCCTTTGAGGGCTCGCCCGCGAGGCCGAGGCTCGGGCAGCCAGGCGCGGGGAAGAGGTCGCCGAGCGAAACGCATAGCGCAGAAGGAAACCGGGAGAGGAACATACCTTGAGGTTGGCCGAGGAAAATACGGATGATGAAAAATGAACTTCGTCACCCGGAGGAGGAAGCGAGAGCCTTCGACTTAAGAGGCGAAGCCGGAGGCCGAAGACTTTGCATGTGCACTGCCCGAAGATATTTTGTACGAGGAGCAAGATAAGGACGGTTGCGAGCTGTCTTAAGAAAACGACCAAAGTCCAGCGAAGCCCAACAGACCCCCGCGGACCGCCATCGTTTGCGGGGGTCCAGGCGGAGACCCCGGCCCAGAGATTGGTGACGGTGGAGGAGACAATGAACCTGCGTTTTTTATGGGCAAAAGCGGTTTTTTTCCGGCACCGTGTCGACCACACTGGTCTGGCCCGGCCCTGCCTTGCCTGCGCGGGGTGGGCAGATTCGCGGGCCATCTTCGCTATGGCCCACGTCCTGCGTGGGACCGCACCGTGCTTGGGGCTCGTACCAGATGCAGTTCGGAGGCGCACGAAGAGAGAGAGAGAGAGAGACAGAGGCACAGCCATTGATAGACCCAGCGTGGGCAAAGTGGTGATTTTTCTTTCTATTGTATCGACCAACGTGTCATGGCCCAACCGGGCGTGTGAGGCCACGCCCGCTTATAGGAACGAAGAACTGCCGCCCATCAGCAAGAACAAGCGTAAGCCTTGGGCCCTGAGCTGGATGCTGCAGTTCGAGCTTGCAAACAAGCCCAAGTACGACCCCGTTCATGGCGAGTGCAGGGAGTGTTTGTGGGTTCCGTTCATGATGGGGCACGAGTCCTGGGGATGCATGGAGTCTTTCCCACGTGCACCACATGCAGGATTGGGCAGATCCGTATGCCCTGGGCGAATGTTGACGTCATCGTTTTTGGCGGCTCCGCTGCCTCTTCCTCCCTCCTCCTCCTCCTCCTCCTCCTTCTTTCCTTACTCCTTCCCAGCATCGTCATCAGCATCAGTATTTGCATCATAATCACAATCATCGTCATCATCATGCTGTTTCGGTTCAAGCCCCAGCAGCTTTGGTTCAAGGTTTTTGTGTTCAAGTTGGCTGCCGCGCTGGAAATATTCTCTCATTTTGCACTTGTCTCTTCAGCTTGCACCTGTAACTCGACGACGCCGGATCCAGCCGTGAATTCGTGGCGGCAGCGGTCAGAGTGTTGATGTGGAGGATCGAGATCTTGGAAACGAAGGGCGAACTCCAAGCAATATCCCTCTACAGCGAGCTCTTCGCGGAGTAGGCCGCATGGAGCGAGCGCGTGGGGGCAGGAGCAGCCCGCCCGGGAGGCCACCCTGAGCAGGGCTCGGGGGGGAGAAGCTGGAGGAGGAGAGGAGGAGAGAGCAGCAAAACAAAGGAGGAGAACAATAGTGTGGCAACGTGAATTTCCGTTCCACCAGGCGGTGGACACCCTTTTCCGCGACCAGGTCAGCCTTGGTTTCGCCAGGTGGGGGTTCGGGGAGAGGGTGCGCAAAATGATTGTGACCGACATCTCCGTCAGTGCCGGGGCAGATGCAGAATATTCCTGACGCTTCTAATCGGGATTCTCAAACGCGGATAGACCATGCCAGGAAGGACTTAGAGAGCTCACGTGAAGATAACAAGCAGTTCTCTGTTTCTCCTGTTTCGGAGATCTTCGAACTCGTGCCGCTGCAAGAGAAATGGGCGCAGCGATTCGAAGGTCACCCCGACGGAGCCGATCTGTGCAAGCAGGGGTCGGTCACGGAGTCCGAGAAGGTGAAGATGGGTTGCGGTTTCCCCTTGCCAGGATCCTTAGGGCCATATCGTGTCGGCGGCGGCGTGCGCGTATACCGGGATCTTCAGAAGGACGCCGGGGTAGTTACGCCGACGGCCACGTGGGCAGAGTCATCGTTGTCCTGGACGGTGCTGGGCAAGAGCGTTTTGTACGCCGGTGGCGCAGCGACGAACCACATACAATATATCCGGTGGACGTTCACAGGAGCAGAAAGGAAGTCTGTGAAGATTATTTCGCATGTTTTGAGCTTTCTCCGGTACATCCAGAGACCGCTTGATTTGGTGCAGTCGATACCTCGACGCAGCTTTCATTTTGGAGTCGTGATGTAGGTGGCAATGCTAAGTACGAAGCGTATCCCGCTTTGCTCGCAGATAACCAGGGCCATTATAATGGCAATAGCCACCAATATCATCATCGGCAGCAGCATCATCATCAGCATCATCAGCACCATCATCATCACACTCATCATTAGTATCATCATCATCAGCAGCATCATCATCACTCCTCTTCACTCGTCCTCCCTTTCTTCACGTCTCCTCACTCCTCCTCCTCCTCCTCCTCATCCTCCTCCCTGCCTCCCTCCCTCCCTCTCTCATCCTTCCTCTCCCCGAGGCGCGCCACCTGTACGGCGCAATCTTCAGCTTCCTGGTGCAGCGCGTCAATGAGGCTGTCAGCGCCGAGAAGTCTGCGCCGGACGTGGCAGGCGAGCGGCCGACGCCGTCGCAGCTGCCGTGGTGGCTGCCAAAGTCGTCGTCGTCGTCGTCGTCGTGGTGGCCGTTGCCGTCGCCCTCGCTGCCGCCGTCGTTGCCGCCGTTGTCGTGATGGTGGTGGTGGTGGCGGTCGTCGTCATTGGCGTCGGGGTGGTCGTGCTGGGTGTCGTCGTCGTCGTCAGGGGAGAAGGAGGAGGAGGGGAATGAGGAGAGGCAGAAGGATGATGATGCAGCTGATGATGATGATGATGATGATGATGCTGATTTTGGTCGTGATGATGATGATGATGATGATGATGATGATGATGATGATGATGATGATGATAATGATGATGATGATGACGATGACGATTACGGTGTTGCTGATGATATCGATGAGGATGATGATTACGATGATGACGATGATGATGGTCATGTTGATGCTGATGCTGTTGATGATTATGATGATGATGCTGATGGTGATGCTGATGAGTGTTGTTGTTGCTGATGGTTGTGATGATGGTAGTGATGCTGGCAGTGATGATGATGGGGATGATGATAATGACGACGATGATTACGATCATATTGCTGATGACGATGGTGATGATGATGAATGCTGTTGTTGTTGTTGCTGATGTTTGTGTTGGTGATGATGATGCTGATGCTGCTGGTGATGATGCTTCTGATGATGCTGATGATGATGATGATGAGGATGATGATGATGACGATGATGATGATGCTGATGATGATGACGACGATGAGGTGAACGAGGGAGAGGTGGAGGAGGAGGAGGAGGTGGAGGAGGAGGAGGAGGAGGAGGAGGCGCAGAAAGAGGAGGTGAAGGAGGGTCAGAAGGATTGGGGGCAGGCCGAGAAGGGAGGGGGAGGAACGCGGAGAAGGACGGAGCAGGATATCGTTGAAGGAAGCAGCGATCAAGAGCACAGGTATCCTCTGCCCTTGCAGGCGAGCGGGAGTTCTGCCAGTCCCCCTTCGTGGGCCTCCTGGACATCTTCGGATTCGAGTACTTTGAGACCAACTCGTTCGAACAGGCGCGCCGTTCTCCGTTAGGAGGGAAAATGACTGAGGGGGAGGAGCAGGAGTAGGATTGAGGGGGGAGGAAGGGAATGAATGTGAAGAGGACGGGTGACGGGAGGAGGAGGAGGAGGAGGAGGAGGAGGAGGAGGAGATGCAGGAGGAGGAGGCCGAGGAAGAGGACGAGTGTGAGGACAAGAGGTGGAGAAGGAAGAAGCAGGGAGGAAGTGTACTGAGAGAGGGGGAGCCGGAGGACGGAGCAGTGGAGGAGAGTCGTCCGAGGCCACAGAGAGGCAGGGAGAGAAGGGGGGACGGGGGCCAGACCGCGCCTCCAGCGCCGCCGGCACCCGGTCTGGCTGCGCTTGCCGTCGGGGACGCCGGGGCACGGCGGAGCAGCCCGCCCCCTGTCGTCGAGGCTTCTCCGCTGTATCGGCGCGTCCTCGGCGAGCTTTCGGGGGGTGGCGATCGGCTGCACCTCGCCGCCCGCGGGAGTCAGGGGCAACATCAGGGGGGAGGGGGGGTACGGGCTCAGCGGGGGCTACATCGACCCCCACTCGCCCAGTGATTGCCGATAGGGGCCCGACAGCCCGCCCCGCCCAGGAACGTGGGGATTCGCTACTGGGGGCCTATCGCCGATCTATCGGCGATGTATCGCCGATCCCAGACCGATGTTCCCCCCCCCCCTGAGCCGATTCCCCCCCTAACGTTGCCCTCAGAGGGGGACGGGGATGAATGTTTCAGCTGCGCCAGTCCTCGAAGGACCTCCCATCCTCGTGCCGCCGCTTCTTCAGCAGCTTCCGGTGAGCTGACTTAGCAGTTGCGTCTGCACCGGGGCTGTGAGCGCGCGTCTGGCCCAGCGTCTGCGCGGGCTCTTGGCCTGAATAGTTCCATCTTCGGCGAGCTGTAGGAGGAAGCGGGGACACAACGTGGGGGCAGCGGGAGGAGGAGGAGGAGGAGGAGGAGGAGGAAAAGGAGGAGGCGGAGGAGGAGCAGGAGGAGGGAGAGGAGGAGGCGGAGGAGGAAGAGGAGCAAGAGGAGGAGGCGGAGGAGGAGCAGGAGGAGGGAAGGCGGATGAGGGAGGACGGACGATGAGCAGGGAGGGCGCAGGAGGAGGGGACGAAGGGGGATGAGGGAAAATGGAGTCGAGGGAGGAGGAGCAGGAGGAGCAGGAGGAAGAGGAGGAGGAGTTGTGCCCAATTTGGGTCGCCCTCTGGGCGCACGTATGTTCACTGGGCTCACGCGTTTTCACACGCAAAGAGTCCGACGTGCCCAAGTTGGGTCCCTCGCTGGGCCCTGGACACGTGAAAACGCGTGCCCCGCGCGCACGCGCCAGGCGCATGGTGGGCCGCGCACGTAGCTTCACATGAAAAGGATCCGGCGCGCCCAGGTGGGGTCCCCCGCTGGGGGCCCCTTATGCCCCGCGCGCATGCGTCAGGCGCATGTTGGGCCCTCCGTCTGCGCATGCATTCTTACCTGTGAAGACTCCGACGCGCCCAAGCTGGGTGGGCCGCGGCCGCGTGAAAGCACGTGCCCCGCGCGCGCGCCAGGCGCATGGTGGGTCCCCCCCCCGCCCAAGTTGGACCTCCCCCTCGGGGCCGTGGACACGCGAACATAGGTGCCCCGCGCGCACCCGCCGGGCGCGTGTTGGGTCTCCCCCAACCGCGCGCCCGCGCCAGGCGCGTGTTGTGCCCCCCTCCGCGCTCGCATTTTAACGTGTACAGAGTCAAGCGGGCCTTGTCCTCCTTCCTCCTTCCTCCTTCGTCCTCATTCCTTCTCATCCTCCTTTCTCCTCCGCGTCTTCCTTCCTCTGTCCTCCTCCTCCTCGTCTTCGCATTCCTGCCTCAACACTCCTTCTCCCCATCGTGTTTCTTCTGCTGATCGACACCCTTCTGGTAGAGGGCTTTGGACCCGCAGACGAAAATAGAACCCTGGGCCAGAGCGCCCTTACTTGGAAAAACGCGCCGACAACGATTCACACATCTCGGCAATCATGCTGCCCATTGTGCACGAGCCAGAATTCAGCGGACTCATCCAAGAAAAACCAACCTGCCTGCAGGTGCCCCACGGACATGCCGTATCCCCCGATGGTCTCCAGGACCCACAGATACACGGGAGGACCTGAGGAGGCTCAAAGATTGGCGTCGAATGTGCCTTATATGGTCTGCACCAAGATTTCTCATCGTGTGCGCCGACTGTACTTATCCGAGGGGCTAGCCGTGTGAAGGAGGAGGTGCAGGACGGAGGAGAGGGAAGGGGGACAGAGCAAGGTTCGGGACTCTCGATTGGGACCCCTCGTTGTCTAGTTGTGAACCCCGCCTCTGGCCGCAGCTGTGCATAAACTTCACCAACGAGCTGCTGCAGCAGTACTTTAACGAGGTGATCTTCGATCACGAGGCAGCACCGCCACACGCATGGCAAGCCGTCCCCCCCAACCCCTGCTGTCGCAAATTTGATGAGCTGGAGTTGTTACGTTCTTTTTCAGAAGGAGGATGATGAGGATGAGGCGGAGGAGGGGGGGGATTGGGGAGCTGGGGAGCAGGAGGAACACGGGCAGCAGGAGCGTGAAACCGATGAGAAGGGGCAGAGGGGAGAAGGATGGAGGATAAGGGGGAAATTGGCGATGGCCGCGATGGCAACGAAGATGCTGTGAGGAGGAGGAAGAGGACGAGGTGGAGGAGGAGCAGGAGGAGGAAAAATACTATGGGGAAACGAGGAGGAGGAAAAGAGCAGGAGGAGGACGAGGCGGAGGAGGAGGGCCAATGTAAACCCAAGACGCGTCAACGATGTTGCAATACACCCTCCGTCCAAGCTCCTTCTCCATATGTCCCTAAAGGAATTTTCTGCATTGCGGAAAGGCCCCATTGGAAGACATCCGCTTGCGAATCTTGGATCGGCCGGCCCAGCACATCATTCTTGGGATTTCAGCGCCGCGAATCAACGTGACTGTTGTGTCCTGGCAATCCCCAGCTGTGCCAGAACATCATTCCTGGGACTTCAGCGCAGCGAATCAACGTGACTGTTAGGCTTGGACAATTGTAAATCGTACCAGGACGCCGTTTCTAGGACTCTGACTATACGAACATTTGAAATCTCAGACGAATGTGCGCGGCGCTAAGCAGAGAGCCACACGTTGAAAAGGAGCTGCCTTTCATCCTTAAGGCTGCTGCGGACTTCTAAGACGAACGTGCGCGGCGCTATGGCGGGAGACGAAGTGAATCTGCTGTTGAATTTTCGGGCCACTGTGCGCGGCGCCAAGGCGAGGGCCACATTTTGAACAACCTCCGCCCTCCATCTGTGAAGCTGCTACAAGCGTCTAAGACGAACGCGTGCTGCGCCAAGGCCAGAGCAGCATGTTGAAAACGGTCCGCCCTCCGTCCGTGATCTTGTTGCAAGGTCCACTCTTCAGGATCGCAGCTGGCGCGGAAGTCTCAGGCGAAACGCCCCGCCCGACCTACCAGCACGTCTTGGGGATGCGACAGGGAGGAGGTACTGATAAGGAGCAGGGGATGGAGACGGAGGAGGAGGGAGTACAATGTAGGGGTGACCCTCCTCGACCTCGATGGGGTCACCCCCGATGTACTAAAGTTGGCCCCTCCTTGCATCGCTCAGCATTTCGACATACAACAAAGTATACTAAGATCCAGAGCATGTTTAAGCAATCGTGCCACACCCACTCCACCCCTGTAGAGATTTCATCGAGGAGCATGGGCTTTGGTGGGAGTTGGCGGCTACAGCGTTAGCTAGTTTAAGCAATTCAAAGAACTGCTTTTTGGGATGGGGAAGGTCCTTGACATTTGGCCCCCTCCTGCTGATTTGATCGGTGTGCTGGATCAGGGGTGTGTGAGACCCCGTGTTGGTAGGACCCCTTCCTCCCCACGCAGTCCTTATTGGCGCATTGACCAATGGCGTTGCGGCCGCTAACTCAGGATTGGCCACAGCTCACGAAGACCCTTGTATCGGCCTGGGCCCCTCCATTTTGGAAGTGCTGGAGGAACCTGGATATTCGGGCGTTCCCACCAAGTTACTTCTGTTTTGGGGTAAGGGGTTCCCCGTGGTGTAATGCTCTGGGTGCGGCACTTCTGGGATTCAGTAGGTCATCCGACTGTGGGTCAGATGTGCAGCTTGGCTACTTGCGCTGTCCGGCCGCTGATGAGCGGTGTGAGTGTCGTTTTCTCTCTCATCCTCCTCCTCGGTTTCTCCCTCGTCCTCCTCCTTTTCCTCTTCTGCGGCACGGATGACGGAGGGGGAGGGGGGATGATGAGCAGAAGCATGCGACGTAGGCAGACAAACGTGAGGATAGACTACGCACGTGGAGGAGGTCGTTGACCAGTGTCAACCCGAGAGCCAGCAACGATGTTGGAATAAACCCTCCTTCCAAGTTCCCTCTTCATAGGCCCCTACAACGGTTCATTACCACTGAGGGAACCACCCCGTTTGAAGACAACCGTTTGAAGACCCTGAAGCATGTCAAAACATTGTTCTCGGGATTCCAACGCTACGGATCAGCCTGACTGTTGCGTCTTGACGATCCTGAATCGTGCCAGAACGCCGTTCTTGGACATCATCACCGCGAACCAACGTAACTGTTGCACCCTCATAATCTTGAACCCTTCCATCGCACCATTTGTGGTACGATGACCACGGGGATCCGTGAAACGAATGTGCGCGGCGCTCAGGCGAGAGCCACATGTTGAAAAGGAGCCGCCTTGAAGACGTGAAGCGCCTGCAAATGTTTAAAACGAATATGCGCGGCTCCCAGGCGAGAGCCATATGTTAAAAACCCTCCGCCCTCAATCCGTAGAACGAATGCGCGCGACGCTAAGACGAGAACCACATTTTGAAAACCATCCGCCGTCAATCCGTGAAACCCTTACAATTCGTAGTTTTGAAAACGAATGTGCGCGGAGCGAAGGCGGAAGCCACGTTTTGAACACCATCCGCCCTTGATTTGCGAAACTGCTGGCAGGTGTTAAGCTTCAGGGCCACAAGTGGTGAGGAAGTCTCAGGCGAAACGCCCGGCCCGCCCTAAAAGCTTGCCTCGGGGAGCGGCAGGGAGAAGGTGTTTGCAAGGAAGAGGAATGGAGGGGGAGGCGGAGGCGGAGGCGGAGGAGAGGGGGGAGGAGGATGAAGAGGAGGATTGATGACGGAGCAGCAGCAAAAAAATCGCAGGTGGTGCAGCAAGAGCAGCGAGAAAGACGGGGCCCGGCGTCGCAACCGCCGCCAGCGAGGCGGAGCTCTACCGGCGGGAGGGCATCCCGTGGGACCCGCTGGACTTTCCCGACAACACTATGAGTGTCGAACTCATCGGAAGCGCAAAGGACCTACAGCCGCCATGTCGCGGTCTTTCCTCTTGCAGGCGCTGGGGTTTTTGTGGGTTTGACCAGACGCTGGCGTGGAGTACCGATGCGACGTGGGAATTCAATAGATCGACCGCCGCCTCTTTTTTCTTTGTCTCCCCCCATCAGAGGGACCGAACAGTGCCGATCGCTGGCCGATGGGTGTTCCACCTTCTTTGTTGTGGGCCTCTGGGGGGGGCCCACGTCGGCGCAGCCATGGGTGTATCTCAGACAGCCAGGGCAGGGTTGACCCAGAGAGTCCTCTGGTGACAGGGCTTCCATGGCAGCGACATGATCATGTTGAGCTTGTTGGCATCGCGGGGCACCGACCCACTGCGCCTGTCTCTCCAAGAGACAGCTTCGGCTCTCTGTAGATGGCCTCGGAGGGCTCCAGGCGATCTCGGGGGGCTGCTGAAGGGGGTACCTCAGCAGGTTGCTCTGGGCCTGGGCCGCAACTTTCTCAGCGCAGCAGGGCGACGGGGAGCCGTCGAGCTCATCGGCACCGGGAGGGGCCGAATCGGAAGCGCCGTCGATCAGCAGCTAATCCTCCTCATCCGTCGTTCTCTTCAATCTTCAGGCCCTGTTCCTTACAGACAGCGCCCCCCAGCCGCACCACCAAACGCGTGGTTCGGATAGGCCCGAGCCCGTCGGATCCACCCGCAGGGGCACGAATTTGATCGCGCCTCGCACTTCGCGGTCTGGGCTGGAGGTCGGTGCTTGTCTCCTGGGGGCGGCGCGAGAGCGCGAGGACATCTACACATAGAGGTGGACCAGCGTGCTCGTTGCGTGCATGACATCATCGTACCTGGTCGCATCCAGCGGCTGAGGATATCGGGTCTTCCGTCTGATGGTAATTCAGATGCTTGCAATACAGCTAGTTGTTTATACTGGTCACAGTATTGTCTTAACGGATGATGACAGGGCGGCCTTTCGCGCAAAGATCTTCTTTGACCTGACGATGGCGGAGATGGCACCTGGTCACAGTCTTTCTTCTTGGAGATTGCAACCTCCACAAACAGCTGCCGATGAACCCTCGTGCTCCTGACGTCGACAGGCGTAGGAGTCCTGGCGACACGGCTTCTCGACCGCATGACGGCTTCTGGCGCAGCATATTCACACGCATGATGGAAATTGACAATGCGCTTCCGGCTCACCATGTGTCTAGCGAGTGGCAGCCCAAGTTGACACAGATCGACAGGGTCTTTATCTCGACCGCCAGCTGGCAGGCGCTGCAGCACGACATCACGGCCGTCACGCCTGACATGCCAGAGGTGCTGCATGAGCGCGAGATCAGCGACCACGTGCCTGTCCTCATTTCGGTGGCCCCGAGCCGCCAAGAGACGCTCGATCAGCAGCGCATCCCGCTGCACCTTTTCAAGGATCCAAAGTTAAAGTTGCAGTATCAGCGCCCGTGTGATCTGATGGACTGGTCGCAGCTCTTGGCTTACGGCAAGCGCCGTCGCCACAAGCAGTTGATGAAGGATGCGGCTCGGTATGTTCGGGACCTACGGCTGCGCCAACCCCAAGGCGAGAACACGTTGTTGATGTTCCGGTCACTTTCGGGAGCGGTTTGGCGTGATGATGTGACACTTGGGCGACGTCTCCTGCAGACGTGCGAGCCTGCGCGGCAGTACATCGAGGTCACGGCCATTCAGGTCAACTTGCGTGACTTCGCACAGGGACATCAACTGCGCTCTGAGGCTCGAGCTGCTGCGTTGTCTGAGCGGGATGCCAAATCAATTGGTGCGTCGTCCTTCAAGATGATCTGCGCCATGCGCAGGAAGCTCAACAAACGTGCAGCGTTGTGGTCACCGTTCGGCAGGACTCTTAAGCTGCAGGGCATCAAGGCGCCCGACGACTTGGGCTACAGGGTCCTCGTCGAACACTCTGGCATGATCGACGCGCTGCGAGACCACTGGGCGCCCATCTTTCAGATCAATCCGCAGGTGGATGACTGGCAGAGGCTGTCGCTGAAACACATGCAGACTCATGCGCCCATGGTGTCCCGCGGTGTCCCGTGGTGTCCCGTGGTGTCCCGTTGAGTGAGACCGATACTGAGATCGATACTGACATCGATCGTCAGATCGATGTGGTGCCCCGAGGTGTCCCGTGGTGTCCGAAAATGTGAGATCGATAGTGGGATCAATGGTGAGATCGACAGGTGTCCAGTGGTGTCCCGTTAAGTGAGATCGAGACTGAGATCGATACTGAGATCGATAGTGAGATCGATGTGGTGCCCCGAGGTGTCCCGTGGCGTCCGAAAAAGTGAGATCGATAGTGAGATCGATAGGTAGATCGACAGGGGTCCCGTGGTGTCCCGTTGAGTGAGACCGATACTGAGATCGATCGTCAGATCGATGTGGTGCCGCGAGGTGTCCCGTGGTGTCCCAAAAGGTGAGATCGATAGTGAGATCGACAGGTGTCCCGTGGTGTCCTATGGTGTCCCGTTGAGTGAGATCGATAGTGAGATCGATAGTGAAATCGAGAGGTGTCCCGCTGTGTCCCGTGGTGTTCCGTGGTGGCCCGTGGTGTCCAGTGGTGTTCCGTTGAGTGAGATAGGTAGTGAGATCGACACTTTGAACGATCTTTGAGTCCCATCTTTGGGCTCGTGGGGGCCTTCTTGGAACCCTCTGGGGCCATCCTTGACGCCCGAACGGCCTGCCGAACGCCCTCGTCCAGGGGGAGGGTGCAGGGGCAGAGGGCAGGGGAAGACCCCCACCTCGAAAGGGATGTGGGGTTTCGCAGAACGAGCTCCCTTGACGTCTCACGCCCGCGAGGGCCGTTGGGGCTCTTCTTCGTCATCCCTCCTCGTCCGGTTGACTCGGCGGGTCCCACCTCGGCCTCATTCTCCGTCGTCTCGGGCGTCTTCCACGCTGCTGGTGGTGTTGGTAATGCCGCGGCTGATGTTCCCTGGTGTTCTGAAGCAGACTGCCACTCACATGCGCATCATGCCACCCTACTGTCCAGCAGCACAATCTGGCATTCAGACGTTGCCCGGGTCTGAGGTTGAACCTGAGCGCACGCGAAGCGCGCGCGATGGTTCTAGTATATATACATATATATAGGCACGCTTGTATATGTATCCGCGCTTCGCGCGACTCCAAGCACGAAGCGAGGCGCCCGAAGGTCGGCAGCTGACTGGCAGCGCGTGCGTCGAGCTAGTGGGCAGATGCCGCAGCGAACGATCGGCCATTTTCGGGTTTCTCCAGGCGCTCTGGGGACAGGCAGACAGCAGACCTCAGAGTGTCTCGGCCCGGCCGCGATGAGGGCCGACGCTGTTGCTCTCGCCGTTTCGGCGCCCTGGATGTCTTCGGCCCTCTGTATTGACAACCAAACATGCCCCGCCGCAGAAAATGTCTTAAGGAGGTGGTCGAGAGCTCTGGTCGCCCACATGGGGCGTTGTAGAAAGGGCCCCGCATTCGATGTATCGAGAAATTGCAATCTCTTCCTCAGCGGAGTGCGGCGGACGAAAAATGGGTGCGGCTCCGCCTGCGGAAGCTGGCGGCAGCACACGGACGTAAACATAAACATTCCAAGGTACGCAATTTTTGGTTTCGGGATTGCCGGAACGGGCCACATAGTGAAACATGGCGACGTCGGAGGTCTCCAGAAGTCTCGGATGTTTCCTGGGGGATAACAGGTGGAATTGGGAGGTCCTCGTGTGGGTTTCTTGGGGTTTCAAACGCGTTGCCTTGGTCGGAGATCTTGACAGGCTTCTCTTGGCCAGGTTTTCCCGCTGTACAGAGCGACGCGGGGCGGGTAACGATACGACTGCTGGCTGGTCGGCGAGCGTCCTTGATGGAACTGTGCGGAGCGCGTGCCGCATGAATAACAGTCGTCGTCGTCATCCCTTGTCCCCCTCCTTTCTCCCACGCCCCCCATCCCCAGGCACTCCCTGCTTCCTCCCCGTCCTCCCTCCTCATCCCCAGAGGTCCAGGGAGTGGTAGCATCAGTATGTACCTTCTTGTTTCCCCTGATCCTGCTGTTCTTCGTCGCCATCGTTGTCGCTTCCGTGGTAGGGCCCTCACCATGGCCGGTTCCTCGCACAGGCTGGCACCTGCGTCGTGCTTCGCCACGCGGCGCGCCAGGCGTCGAGCTCTGCGGGCTCCCGCTTGGGCCCTCCCGCCCCCCGCGCTTCTGGCTGCGGTCGCCTACGCGGGCCCTGGGAGGCTGCCGCAAACCCGCGCGGCCCGAGGCCGGAGCGGGCGGGAGGCGGGCGCCGTCCGGGCTCCGCGCGGCATGCGCCGCCGGCGTGCGCCTCTCCTCTGGGCGGCCCCGATGAGCTGCGCCATGCATGGTAATTGCCATATTCCCATACAGCACACTGGAGATAACGCTCAAACCGTGTGGACGTTAGCGATTTGTCGCGGGTGTTCGCGGAACGGTGTTCGGCTTCGGCAAGGCATGCTTCGGCTGATCCGGCGCCCCGCCTTCGCGTGGGGGCCAGGAGGAGACGGAGGGGGCCAGGATGAGGAGCGCCCTTCCCTCGGGAGGCTGCCGGTGCGCCCCTGGCCCCTCCAGATGAGGTGTTCTGCCTGGGCTTCTCGTGGGGTCCTCGGGGTGCCTGCTTCTGTGGGGGTGGGCTGTAGTGATGGCCCTGGAGCCGGCCTGTGTCCGTGGGTCCGACTGGGGCATCTTCCAGGCCTGGTGGTTGTGGCGGGGATCTTCGGAGCGTCCTCCAGGAGCCGGCCGGGGTCCGCGTTTTCCGGCAGTCGCCCCAGGGGTCCAGGCTGAGCTCTCCGGGGCCGCTGCGAGACCGACCGTCGTGGAGGCCCTCGAGTGCTCTTCCTCCCCTGTCGGGCCGTCCCGCGGCGGCCTGGGCCGTGCCAGGACAGAGTCTCTCCGGGTCGCCCTCCGCCTGGCAGTCGTGCTAAAAAGGCCGTGCCCGCGGACTCAAGCTAGATCCGAAAGGGTCCAACCAACCAACCAACCTCCTCCCTACGCTTCGCTCCTCTTGCCTTCCTCGTGCATCATCATCTGTTGTCTTGCTTTATCCCCTCTCCTGGCTTCCTGCTCCTCGTTCCCCATCCGTTGCAGGACGGCGTGCTGACCATACTCGACCAGGAGCGTCAGACGATGTGCAGCAACAGTCGTAGTCGCGTTCGTCGTCGTGGTTGTCTTCGTCGTCCTTGTCGTCGTTGGGGGAGGGCGGGAGAGGAGAAGGTCGGTGAGGCGTGTAAGGGGAAGGGAGACGGGGAGGACGATGCGGGAGGTAGGATGTGGAGGCTTGGTAGGAGGGAGGGAAGGAAGATTGTGGGCGAAGGAGGTCGAGGAGCGGGAGGCTGGGGGCGGAAGATGCGGAGGTGGGAGGACGTGAGGAAGTGGGGTGGAGGAAAAGCATGCTGGAGGTGGAAGATTGAGCAGGAGGGGGAGGATGTTGTGGGGAGGAGGATCAGGAGAGGGGAGGGAGAAAAGACGAATGGGGCGGGAGGAGGTGGAGGAGGGGGGCGACCAGGAGTGCCAGACTGTGGGCGGCAACGCGGAGCAGTGGCTCAGGAAATTGCAGGGCGCGCATGGCACGAACAAGCTGTTTGGCGTCGTGAGGCACGCCCACTCGTCGTCTTCGTCGTCGTCCTCCTCCTCCTCGCTCTCGTTCTCGTTAGCGTTCTCGTTCTCGTTCTCGTCGTCGCCAGAGGTGGGCGGCGGGGGAGGATGAGGAAAAGGAGGAGGAGGAGAGAGGCGGCGAAGGTGGAGGATTCTGATGATGACGAGAACGGTGATGATGGTGGGGGTGATTTCGATGATGGTGGTGACGAGGGTGATGGCAATCATGACACTGATGGTGATGATTTATGCTGGCAGCGGCAGCGACGGTGATAATACTTATGACGGTGGTAGTTGCGATGTTCACGATGCTGGTGATCGTGATGGTGGTCACGATGGCGACAGTCATGTTGCTGTCGACTGACGCTGTCGATGGTTGCGATAAGGATGGTTATGGTCATGGGGATGGTGATCGTGCTGCTGGTGTCGAAGATGATCGACGACAGTTCAGGGACAACCGCGTTATACTGACGCGGGCGACATTGCATCGTCATTGGGTGGCTCTACAAATTGGCTAGTGAGCCTATCGCCAAGCAGTCAACGCCCAACTCTTGAACGACGGCGCGGCCATTGTTACATGGAGGACCCTGGGTCGATCACCCCAGGCTGGGATGGAGCGGCTCTATCACGGTGGCTGTAACATTCAGCAACGTGATCCGCCGCGTGGTTTGGACATCTCAACGGCGTTAGTCGCCGCGGAACGTGTAGAAAACGAGGCCGATGTCGTCGATGAGCTTCCGGACCTCCTAGGCATGGAGCCGGGGTGCCTTGTAGGAGTGAGCAGCGGAAGGACATCTGTGAAGTGCAGAGGCCATGCTTTCATACATGCGGTGGAACTGTTGTCGTCCACCCGGGAGTTGGCCTGCCATATTTCAAATTCTACAGCGAGGGTGACAGCGGATCTCGGCGAAGCTTTTACGGGTTAGGATCGGTGTGGCTGTCGGGGGATTTCTGGCCAGTGGGCGTATGAAGAGGACAATCGTATCATGAATGACGCTGGTGGTGGTCACGCAGACCTCGACGTCCACGCGAAGCAACAGTCACTTGGATCCGATGCTGGACAATAAATCCACGATGCAGCAAATCAATATGACAGCGGGGAGCATGGCGACCCACACGATGCACCGTGGACATGTCGAAGTGCCTTTTTAACGAGCCTTGTTCACACCACATCCTGCACAATCTGACGCTGGGGCTTCCACACGTATTGGGGGCGGTGGGGCCGACGCATTCTTGGCTTGAAAAACGCGCGCGGGATGCTGAACGTGTTTTGTCTAGTGGTTTCAGCGATGCCAATGAACTCATGCTTCTTGAATGGACCCGCATCGGTACTCCATCTGAACGTCGCCGCCTTGAACGCTACTGTGTGCAAATATCTCCGGGGCGGGGTAAAATGCGACCCTTCAGTTCATTGGCCCGAACAGAGTGGCTGCATTACGCTTGGTCTGAGGCCGCGGGCGCTACATTGCAGGCCAAGGCGTGGCAAGGGACGACGAAGACGTACATGGTCAGGGGAGGTCTGCCAACATGGACCTGGTTGACCAAGCAATCAAATCAGAGCGAGTCTGGGGACGCGCGATCATGGTGCATATGGTTGCGCCGCGACAGCATCCCGGGCGAAACTAGTTTCAACGATCGACTATTGGCCTCGCGCCGCGGGCAAGACGCGCCCGATGATTTGTCGCAGGGCTTCCGAGCTTTCATCGGGTAAACTCGTGAGCTCGGCCGTCACACTACTCACGCGTGCGTCGCTGAATGGTCCGCTGCTCGAGCTGACCGGGATGGGATAGGAAGGCGACGATCGCCCGGCGGTTTTGAAATATTATGACGTCATTCGACGTTGCGCATGCATGCATTGTCAAAGTTGGTAGCTGGCAGCAGTTACCATGGGCTCAGCGCCAACACGAGCATGGACACCGGGCGCGCTGCATCGAGGCTTTCCCCCGCGATCTGGCGTCGAGGATGCGCGACGAGATGAGGTCTTCATAGCTGGGGCCAATCCGAGAATATCGGCGTTCTTCTTTTGGGCGACGGGGAGACTTACACATGTTCTACCATGTTCTAACCGGCGAACGGTTGGCGGGGGCCCTCCTCGCTGCCATCAAACATTGGCTCGCAAGCGCCCGCAATTCAGGGCTGCCCCGCGTCGGCCGCCGTGGGTGGAGAGGGCGAGCTTCTCCAGTCGACGCAGAACCTCTAGGCCCAGGCGACTGCGACGGCGACGGCGGAGGGGGGCGGGGGGGGCACGGCGGATGCGAAGAAGGAGTTCGATGCCGCTGCCAGGGATTGCGACGAGGGCGCCGGCATGATCGCTGCTGCGAGCTCGTCCGGCCCCCTGCCGGCGCCGCCCGCCAACGCCACCGACGCCGCTGACGACGCGGTCAAGGCCGCTGCCAACGTCGCGATGAGCCGCGGCGCGTCGGTTGCTGCCCGGGCCAGACACAATAGCTTGCGCCGACACCCTTGCCAATTGACATGAGCACATGTGCAAGATGTGCGCGGGCGCTCCCCAGATCGGCGGAGCGGGCCAGGGCGCCGCTCAGGGCGAGGAATCGCGCTGCTGCGACCGTTGCGGGGGGCAACGCCTTCGGCGCGGGGGCTGTTTTTGTCGCCGACCCCCGCTCTGCCCCATCGCCCTCTCCACAGCCGCCGCGCCGCGGTGGGCCTGTCACGGGCGCGGTCTCCTCCTCGGGCGCGGCGTCGTCGGGCGGCCCTGCGCCTGGCGACGCAAACTGAGGCGGCGGGGCTGCAACAGCTGCCGCGCCGATCGCGGCGGGAGTGCGGGGGCCGACTACGCCGCCGCGCCGGTCGCGCGGCTCGCAGCATATGACCGGCGAGCGCGCTCGGAGAGGCACCCGCGGGGCGTCCCCATAGCCGCGGTGGCGCTACAACCTCGAGCATATACAGCGACAACTCATATCTAGACCGCGGAGAACTATTGTGCAATTGCGTGGTTCGATAATATTTCTATTCGTATTATTGGAGAAGTCGATAACCGTAGCAATCGTATTTGGGACCCCGCATATTGTGATCAACGCATGTTCCGCTGATTGATTCATTGTTGATGTGATCTCGTTACGCATCTCCTGGCAGTCGGAGGCGAGGGGGCGAGATCGACGTGGAACGGAGAGCCCCCTACCGGGAAATCGATTTCGGTTTCGTGTTCGCGCGCGCCGTGCGCGCGGGCGAGGCGAAGCTGCGCGGGCGGGCGAGAAAAGTGCCCCTCTGTCGCTGAGGTGCGGCCGGACCAAATGTCTCCCTTCTGGGCGGCCGGGGGCCCGCGGTGCCCCGCCGGTGTCGCGCTGGTGCCCGTGTGGCTGAGGCGCGGCGGGACCAAATGATTCCCTTCCGGGCGGCCGGGGCCCCGCGGTGCCCCGCCGGTGCCCCGCTGGTGCCCCGAAATGCAAATCGGCATGCACATCGGCATGCACATCGAAATGCAACTCGACATGCAAATCGACATGCAAATCGACATGCCAATCGACAATGCAAATCGAAAATGCAAATCGGCATGCAAATCTACATGCACATCGAATTCCAAATCGACATGCAAATCGAAATGGAAGTCGACAGCGCAAATCGAAATGCAAATGTAAATTCAAATCGAACATGCAAGTCGAAAGTGGAAATCGAAATGAAAATTGAACTGCAATCGACATGCAAATCGACATGCAAATCGAAATCCAAATCGGCGTGCAATTTGAAAATGGAAATTTACATGCATATCGAAATGCAGACCGACATGGAACTCGACTTGCAAACCGACAATGCAAATTGACAGTGCAAATCGAGCATTCAAACCGACATGCAAATCTAACGCACATCGACGTGCAAATCAACATGCAAATCGAAAGTGCAATTGGACAGTGCAGATCGAAATTGAATTCGACATGCAAATCGAAATGCAAATCGGCAATGCAAATCGAACATGCAAGTCTACGTGCAAATCTACATGCAAATAAACGTGCGAATCTACATGCAAATCGACTGAGATCGATAGTTGGAGGGATAGTGAGATCGAGTGTGAGATCAGTGAGATCCATCGAGTGAGATCCAAAGTGAGATCGATAGTGAGACCGACAGTGGGATCGATAGTGAGATCGGTTGTGAGATCGATGGTGGTATCGAGAGTGGGACCAGGCGAGTGAGATCGATGATGAGATCGATTGTGAGATCGATAGTGAGATTGATCGAGTGAGACCGATCGAGTGAGATCGATAGTGAGATCGATAGTGAGATCGATCGAGTGCGACTTTGTCCCCTCCCCCCCGCACCTCCTTATCACCCGAAGGGTGGTCGTATAGGTATTATAGGTTTTTCCGTTTTGATATGACAACATATCGTTTCTCATGTTTTTGCATTGTGGGCATAAACGTACCCTGGCTGGTCGCCCGCCACTCACACATGACATGTTTGGCGGCACCGACGGCATGAACGCACCCGGGCAGGTCGCCCGTCGCAAATTGCATCATACCATACATTTGACTTCATTGTCATGGAATGTCGGAAACACAGTGCGTCATATGCAAAGCATGATTCCTATGACTCTTCGTTTGGTGGCGCTACCCCTTTCTACCACATCTTAGATGTGCATCGCGCAATTTTGGGGCTTGAAACGCCTCACGCATGACGTTAGACTATCATTTGTTTGATCAGTTGCCGTAACAGTTTTGATCGGAATACCAACTTGATTTTGGGCCTGGGGTGCCCCGTGGATGATTCTTATTTTAGCATCTCTCGAGCAGTCGTCGTCGCAGTTTCGATCACAACGCTCTTGAATTCAGACTGTGGGCTGCTACGCACCCGCACGATTTGAGTTCTTTTGCGCACGATGAGCCGCGCACCAGTGGAAAAGCCTGCGCCTGGTCCTTCGACGCGGCATCGTTTTCCAGTTTCCTCTATCCCTTTTTCTCCCAGCCTCGTCACCCGTGGGGAAGGGGGGTCGTCCAGGAGTGCCGAAGCGTTTTCTGGGGGCGCACCCTGGGCCTGTTAAGGGCGAGGTGATTCCCTCAAGTACCCTGCCTGACGTGGTTGGTCCCCCCCCCTTTCTCTCTTAGCCGGGACGGCCTCGTTTGGAGGTTGCGGGGGGTGTAATGAAGTGTGGGGTGGATTTCACACCTCTGATCCCGAGCCCCGCATTTGTCTCCCGTGGGCCCGAGGCCCACGTGCACCAGGCGGGATTCTGGACGGCGCGTGCGTGCGTGAACTCCGCTCATATCATCATTCTATCCATATATACTGCTGCCGTCCCGGTTCGGGCAGTGGAGACAGGCGCAGCGCCGCCTGCCCGCGGCGCATGGGGAAAAAAGGATCGCGACCCTCTCCGTTGCATTCCTCTGCCTACGGCAACCCTTGCACGTTCGATCCTTCGGTCGTCAAATCACGCGCGCAGGAGGAGGCGGGGGGGGGAGAGGAGGAGAAGGAGTAAAAGGTGGAGGAGGGTGACAGGAAAAAGGGGGCCAGGAGGGAGAAGCGGAAAGGGAGGAGGTCGTCGTTGTCGTCGTCTTCGTCGTCGTCGTCTTCGTCGTCGTCGTCGTCTTCGTCGTCGTCGTCGTCGCGGCCCGCCCCCGGCCCCCCCGCGGTTACCGTCGCAGTGCAGGCGCGCCCGCGCCCAACGCTCCCTTATTCTTAGGCGGGCTGTTGGGCGCCACGCGCCCTCCTCTTCCTCCTCCTCCTCCTCGTCCTCCTCCTCCTCCTTCTTGTCAGATGCCTCCCATAATCCCTCCCTCTTCTCCCTTTTCGCTCCTGTTTCTCCCTCTTCTCCACTCGACGGTGGCGCCCCGACGTCGACCAGGGGAGGGGGAGGAGGACAAGGGTCACGAGGACGAGAGGGAGGAAGAGGAGACGAAAGGGATGAGACTGAGCGTGACTATGCAGAGGATGAGTTTGAACATTGCGTTTTCGTCCCAGCGCGGACCACGATACGCTTCACCGTCAGGCGTGGCGTTTGCAGGGCTTCCGAAAGGGAAAGGGCGGGGTTTGCCAACAAGTCCCACAGGTCTCACTACCCCCCGTGTCCCCTTTGGTCTCGCAGGTGTCGTAGGTGTTCTAGGCCCCGCAGCCCCCAAATATTCCACAGGTCTCACACGTCCCACAGGTCCCGCAGGTCCCACAAATCTCGCGGATCCCGCAGGTCTCGCAGGTCCCGTGGGTCTCGGATGCCTGGCGGCGCGCACAAGGGGGTGGAGGGAGGGGGAGGGCTTCTTAGAAGGAGGCTGCTTCTTAGAAGGCGCAGGCCTTACATCTATAGATAAGGCCCGCGCTTTGTAAGAAGCGCGGGCGGCTCTAAGAAGCCCTCCCCCCTCCCCCCACCCCCCTTCTGCGCGTGGTTGAGCGGCCCCGCAGGTCCCACGCCCCCTACAGGTCTCACAGGTCTCGCAAGTCCCACAAGTTCTATGGGTCCCACAGGTCTCACAGGTCTGGCAGGTTCCGCAGCGCCCACAGGTCCTACAGGCCCCGCAGGTCCACAGCTCCAAGAGGCCTACACTTTCCAACAGTTCCCACAGGTCCCACAGGTCCCACAAGACTCGCATGTCCCACAGGCCCCGCAGGTCTCGCAGGTCTCGCATGTCCCACAGGTCTCGCAGGTCTCGCGGGTCCCACAGGCCCCGCAGGTTCTGCAGGTCTCCTAGCGGTTTCGCAGGATTCGATGTTCCCACAGGTCCCGCAGGTCCCACAGGTCACCTTTGCTGCTATCAGGTTGCTTGCTTGGGCAAGTTTTGAAGGATTTGGAACGCGTTGTTGCTTGAGCCGGGCGCAGGGCAGATTGGGCCATGAGCCCAAATGCGAAACGCTGCCCCATGAATTTGGAATGTCGCCCGCCCGTGATTTGTTATGCGAGCTTGTGGAGGTGGTGATTTCCATCGTGGTCACTCTAGTCCGCCTCCTCCTCCTCCTCCTCCTCCGCCTCCTCTCCCCATTGTATCCATCCAGCGCGTCAGGCTGCATGGTGTCCCTCGAGGCTGGATATGGTGAGCGTGCGGCCGCGTGCAATCGCAATCGTTGCATCGTTGTGAAACTTCGGTGAGCTGTCGCAGTCGCATGTGCACCTGGCGTGCAAGCCACGATTTCGCTGGGCGTTCAGATATGCTGGGCCAGGCGAGTGTGTAAGCACCCCCCTCGCTTCAGGTGCGCTGCAGCCCCTCCTCCTGCGACCTCCGCCTCCTTCTCCTCCTCCCTCTCTTACCTCTCCTCCTACTCCTCTCCCCCCCCTCCTCCTCCTCCTCCTCCTCCTCCTTCTCCCTCCTCCTCCTCCTCTCCTTCTCCTCCTCCTCCTCCTCCTCCTCCTCCTCCTCCTCCTCCTCCTCCTCCTCATCATCATCATCATCATCATCATCATCATGATCATCAGCATCATCATCATCCCTCCGCCCTCCTCCTTCTCCTCACTTCTCCGCCCCCTCTTCCTTCCAGCCCGCTTCCCCCACTCATCCCTCCCCCTCCCCCACCTTCGCCCCTCTCCCGCCCTCGCTCGAGCTTCGATCGCAAGTCGGCGGCGGCCACCACTCCTTCCCGCCGCGGCCCGGTTGAGGCAGCGGCCGGGCAACTTTTTCGTGCAGCACTTCGCTGGCCCGGTGGGCCCCGCCCGAGGGCAGGGCGGGCGGGCGGGCCGGGGCTCGTCGATTGGTCGTGTCGTGTCGCACGGGAGGAGGGGGGGGAACGCTAGGCTTGGGCGCAGAAGTCGAACCGACGGTCACTTTTGCCCAGGGCCGCTCTTGCGTGTGGCCGAGTCTGCACCCGGTCGCAGGTGGAGTACACATCCCAGACCTTCCTCGAAAAGAACCGGGACGAGCTCAGTGCGGACCTCGTCAGGTGTCTGAAGGATGCCCGGGTCGCCGTCCCCCCAGGAGGGGCAAGGGGAAGCGAAGCATGGGATGGAGGCTCCCCCCCCCTTCTATGGTCGCCGGCCACCACCTCGGGAGAGGCAAAGGCGATGGGGTAGGGAGGAGGAGGAGGAGGAGGAGGAGGAGGAGGAGGCGGACGAGCATGAGGAGCGGGAGAATGGCAGCGAAACGGCAGGAGGAACAGGAGAGGAAAAGGAAAGGAGCTTCGCCAGGAAAAACGGAAGAAGAGGAATATTCGGAGAATAGGGCGAAAAGGCAGGAGGAAAAGGAGGAGATGCAAGGGGCAGGGAGAGGAGTGCCGTAGATTCGTGCCGCTTCGGCGCGGCGGCCGCACGTGTGCGGGCCTTCGAGGTTAAGGACCCTCGGCAGCCTTGGTGGGAGGGGTGGGAGGAGACTAGGAGGGTCCAGCAACTAGATGTCTACATCCTCGCCAGCCGCCTGCAGCACTCTGTTGGTGCTTCAGCCTTACGCATGCCGAAAAACCGAGGCTGGCGTCACGGCGTCACGGCCGCTGCCGGCAGGCCTTCGTCCTCCGTCAGGCTGTCCATCAACAGGTCTGGCCGCCTCACAGCCTGGACGGCGGCATCTGGGCTAGCAAAGTCGTGCAGCTCGGCTAGGGCCTGGGTCTCCTGGCCACCGGCCTCGTTGCTTCCCAGTTTAGGCGTCCACATCGCGATGCAGGCGTCATCGGGGCCCCTCAGCGCCGACAGGGTACTTGCCCGCTCCCGTGGGTGCTTCAGCCGTCTCGGGCGGGCACGCTGACTCTTCTTGCCGGGGTCTTGCTTACCCAGGCAGTGCGCGTTCAGCCCCTCGCCTGGCCTCACGTGGTGTTGCGCGCTTGCCCCGCAGCGTTGGCAGAAGATCAGATCCGGTGCCGCCTGGCCCGGCTTGTCCACGAACGATGCCTGCACGATGATATGCCCACGGACGCGCCACGGCAGGCCGCGCGTACCAGTGAGGCTGTCGATGGGCACGCTGCATCGCTCGACCCTGATGGGCCTGGAGCCCGCTTGCCACGCCACTTCAGCGTCGGCAGCCACAGCTTCCTCCAACTGCTTGCCAGCGATGTTGAAGATGACGTCGGCTGTGCTGGCCACTCCGTCGCTGTCCACGAGGCCGTGGCTACCGCGATGTTGCCCCAGCGTGCCAATACAGCGTCCCAGCTGCAGCCCCTGCCGTGGGCAGGCGCGTGCTGCGCGTCCGTGACGCTCTTGATGTACCCCTGGCAGTCGGAATGCACCACCAACTGGCCCGCCTGCCCAACGGGCACTGCTATCTCAGCCGGCTCGTGGAAGGCATAGTCCTCCCCGTTGCGCGCTTCTTGGAGCGGCGCCACTCCCAACGAAACCAACCCATAGAAGGCGCAGAGGAACTCACCTTGCTCGGAGATCTGGACTATCGCCCACCCTGCGAGGCGCAGCCCATCGTGGCCGACATGCGCCGCTGAACCATCCACGAACACTTCGCCTTTGAGCCTCCAGCTTCCCGGGCAGTTGACCCTGCGCTTCCAGCTCTCAGGCGGGGGAACGCCGCGTCCGCCGCGGGCAAGAGAAGAGCTCACCGTGCTCCTCCCCGAGGCGCGGGACCCGCCGCGCTGCTTGCAGCATGTCGTCTTCCAGCAGATCCCTCCTGATGCACTGCGTGGCAGGGCAGTTGAACGTCCTTGGCCATAGAGTTCCTCGCGCTTCGCACGCCGTGCACGCTGCCGAGGGCGCGCGCTCGCGGCGGTGGAGCCGCCCCTGAGGCCAATGGGGGCCACAGAGCTCTGAGCAGAGCGCTGCTTTCTGGTGCCTGGTCCTTGTGACGCTGCCAGCGCCGTGCAACAGCTCGTCACGATGCCCCCAGCTGATGGCTCCTCCCCAGGCGCCGAGCTTGCTCGTGGTGTGCACGTGCGCTGTTCGAGCGGCTCGCCGCACCAGTTTGGACACGCGGCCGTGCGAGCGCTCCCGGAGGTCAATCACCTGGCCGTGCACATTCAACTCATGGGCACTGCAGAGCGAGCAGCCAATCCGCGCCATCCCCAACACCATAGCTTGGGCGGGGTACACGCGCTGGCTCCAAGGCTGCGCCACCTCTAGCCTCTAGCAGGAGCAGGGCTGCTGCCCAGCAGGCGTGCAAGACGTCATCTCCGGGCATGCCTGTGGTGATCTCGAGGCTCCAGCTTTTGGTGAGCTCCACTGCGTACGCGACTCCGGGGTTCCGCTCCATTCAGCACGCTTCTGCGACCTCAGACGCAAGTTCAAGGTGGTGCCCAGCGGCGCGCGAACCTGGGCCTGGCCGCCATACGCAGTCCTTGGAGCTTCCCGTCCGCGATCCCAGTGACAGGAGAGCCCCAGGTCGCCGTCGCCGTGGGCGAGCCCCGCATAACGCGGGTCACCTGGGCGCCCGCCGCGCGCAGGGCTACCGCGCGGGCCGCGGCCTCGGGTGCCTTGCGCAGCCGGGTGTTTTGCTCCCCGACGCGGCGCCGCGCGCCAGCAGCGCTGTCGGTCCCCAAGCAGCGTGCGCCCTTCTGGAGCTGGGAGGGCGCCAGGGCCCATCGTTCCCCGGGGGCCCCAGCTGGCTCCGAGTCTGCCGCCAAGAATCCCGACTCGGACCAATTGACTACCAGACCCTTCGCCTCGATGCCTTCCAAGAGCTCCTCCAGCGCCGCCGCTGGCGGTTCGGTTGCGAGGCGCCGAGTCCCAATGGCCTGCAGCAGTATGTCCTCAGCCAAGTTCTGCTGCCGAACCAGGCGGTGCGGCCTCTGCAATTGCATCAGCTGGGTGTGCAGGAGCAGACTAGCGAGGCCCAGCGCGCAGCTGCAGCCGGCGGCGACTGCGCCGTTCGCCTCGAGCTCCCTGCTGATGGCGCCCTGCCACAGCGCTCGCCGCGGGAGCCGGTAGGAGACGCAGAGGCACTGCAAGAGCTGAAGCGGGAACCCTGTGGCTCGTGCTTCTGCTAGCAGGGCGGCGTGCGAGACGTGCTCGTAGAATTTGGCAAAGTCAAGCACCGCCGTCGCAGTCGACATCGTCCGCATCTGCGCGCTACGCTGCAGCAGGTCGTGGGCGCGCCCCGACCAGTCGCAAGGGGCGTCGCGCCCTACCCAGAATGCGCTCAAGGCGCCACTCCCAGCGCGCGACCAGGGTCTGCCGCAGCTGGGGCCAGACGCGCGCCCAAAGCGACACCCAGATAATTGGCCTCGCCCCTCCAGCGGGCAAGACCAGCAGCGCCCGCAGTGGGACTTCGCCTGGCGCAGCCTCCCGCGCGAGCGAGACGTCGAGGAACGCCCGGCAGTGACTGGCCGGCAAGAAAAGCCACTGCCGGGGGCGCAGCCTGTCCCAGCCGAGGCCGGCTTTGGGCTTGTAGGACTTCAGCGCCGCGTCAATCTCCTCTAAGGTGATGCGGGGCACGGCGGGGCCTGTTGGTCACGCTTGTGCCTCTTCCGCATGGGCATGCGCAGCGCTGTCGCTGAGCCAGCCTTGGACCAGCTGGAGGGCGCCCCAGCCCCTCCGACCCTTTTAAAAAATAAGAAACCCTCTTATTTATTTAAGAACCCTCTTAAAACATAAGAAGGTCGAACAACCCCCTTAAAACATAAGAGGGTTTTCCAATGCCCCAAAACCCTCTTATTTTTTAGGGGGTTGGCGAAAACGAAGATTGTTGGAAAGCACATGTCCACTTTCTTGCAAACCTTGCGGGGGCAATTGGAACGAAGCTGGGCTGCACACTGTTCAAACAATGTGCCGGCGGACTGGTTGACGACAGCATTGGCATTTTCAAACGGCAATGGTAGTTGTGAGCGCAGCGAACGGCAGCCACACAAACACACATACATATGCACATCAGACATACGTACGCACATACACATATACATACATCTGCACACACAAACAGACATGCATACACCCCTTCAACTTCTTTACGGAACACCCCCTTTAATGGGAGCCCCCCGCATGGAGCCCTCCAGAGTCCCCTCATGAAATCCCTTTATGGAATCCGTGGGGTTAGCTAGTCCCTTCATCCGAAGTCGCCACCTGTAGGGGCGCGAGGGTAATAATCATGCTTCACGCTTCGCGGCCTGGTTTGCAGAGCTGTCTTTCTCCGAGGGGTCGGTGTGAGAGCGCGAGGATAACAGCGTTCTACGCTTCGCGCAGCGCGGAGCCCGAAGTTACATTGCCAAGCCTCTTCTGCGGTTCCCCCGTCATTGCCAGTGTACGTAGCCTTTTTCGGCTCAAGCTTGCAAGCCATGGCTTCTTTGAGAGGTCTGTCGCATGCGTTTCATATCTCGATCATATACATAATGGCAAGTCGAACAAACATTTTTCGGCACCCTGACTGCGTCGCGATGCCCAGCAAATGTTTCGATCGTGATCAGAAGCTTCCCACGTACAGCTGTACCGACATGAAAACAGGAGTGAATCTGGACAACCTTACTGAATTCCGTGAGAATCTTACAAAGTTGATGGGAGTTGACAAGAGGGGAGGTTATTACGGACAACCAGACATGGCGAAAGCAATGGCGGAGATTTTTGGCCATCGGAAGGAAGACATTGACGAGTGCGCTTCGCGTCATCATGTTTCAGGGCCTAACGAGACGGTTGCTTCGATGGCCTACTCAGTCCGCGTCATGTGTAGCCACATCAGAGAAAAAAGGAAAGAGCATTATGGCCGTTCCAACCCCAACCGTTCGAAAGACCCCGAGCGGCTGCAAACAGTGCGCGGTGAAATTGTCGCAGACAAAGCTGGGGATCGGCCCTCGACAACAAGAGAGAGAGGAGAGAGAGAGAGGGAGAGAGAAAAAAAAAAAAAAAAAAAAAAAAAAAAAAAAAAAAAAAAAAAAAAAAAAAAAAAAAAAAAAAAAAAAAAAAAAAAAAAAAAAACGATGCCAGCTTTTCGGACCGAGAGAAGCGACGGCGAGGACGAGGATGAAGCGACTGAGACAGGTCATGGTTTTCAAATTTATCGAGCCGAACGACGCTGGTGATGGAATGGTCGCATA